GACTGCTAAATGAGTTATGAAATGGTTCAGATAACCAAAGATATTCAAAGGCTTAGAATAGTTGAATGACTTACCAACACTATTAAACTATCAAGTGACAGAAAATGATTCTTTGTCTATTAGTTCTCAGACCCAGTACTCAATACTAAATTTTCTTATTATTTCACATTAATTTTTCAGAGTAAACATTTTTGTTGGGAATTGGCAACTGCAAAACTGTAAGACTTCAATTGGTAATTACTTTAAGATTTGTTTGTTGTAAATGTCAGACACACACAAAAATGAGTAAAAAAACACTAGATTTTTTTTGGTGATTGGCCTGTCACCAATTAATAGAAGGTATTACAAAAGTTATAAAAATGCTTCAGTGGTGTAGTAATTATATTGAGCTGCTAACTAGGTCAGCAGTTTGAAACCACCAGCAGCTCCATGTGAGAAAGATGGGGCTTTCTATGCTTGTTAACAGTTAAGAGTCTTTACAAGGGCCATTCAACCCTGACTTATAGGGTTTCAACCCTGACCTATAGTGTCATTATGAGTCAACATTAACTCAATACTAATGAAGGGTTTTTTTCTTCCTCCAATCAATTTGCTCGGGTACTGGGAACAGATAAAATTAAATCAAAGTGTCATATTGGTTATTTCTAAGGTCTTCACAGGTTAAGGTAAGCACATTAATAATACAGACTAAACCACCTCTTTTTCCATAGAAGCCTGATGTTTCTTGATAAGTTTCTCCATTTCTGCAGCAAAATTGTTGCGTTGAGTTTCAAGATCTTTGTCTAATCTAAGGCGATGTTCATCCATCTCAGCCTTTAGCTTATTTTCCAGAGTCATCAGCTGCTTTTGATGTTGCCGTCTCATACGCTTATACCCAGACATCTGTTCTCTAAGCTCAGAGTCCTGTTCATGTTCTTGCATTTGCCTTGTAACCTACACATATAAACAATGGAGGGAAGAAAGATATAGGAAAAAAAAATTTTTTTAAATGCTTCAGGAAATTTTACTACTATGTAGGCAATTTCAGAAATCCCAATGTTAGCAGATTACAATTAAAAAGCCAAAACATAAACAAGATGGGTCTTAAGCTTAAAAGGGAATGTAAGGGCCCCAAAGTAGGAAAACTAGTCTTTAAATTGAATTTTGTACTATAATTATCAAGACAGTATGCTACTGGTGTAAGGAAAATCTAAGTAGATGGGGCTAAATAGAACAGAATATAAAATCAGACATAAACATATTTAGTCCATTGATTTTATAACAAAAATGATGAAAGTCATCTTTTAAACAAATTCTTCTGAGACAGATGATTATATAAAAAGTAAATAAATAAACTTTGACCAGTATATCACTCTAAAAACAAAATTAATGTGAGAAGATCAACAGACCCAAATGTAAAACCCAGAACCACCACAAAGTAAAAGAAAACATTTATTATCTTCATGACTTTTAAGTAGCTGTTTCTTTGGCATGACACAAAAAGCACTAACCAGAAAGGATGTACAAATTCAATTTTTAAAATAAAAAATACTACTAATAATTTCTCCATATCAAAACATCATTAAGAAAAGGAATAGGCAAAAAAGTCCACATAGAGAATGGCTTAAATCTGTTATTAAAAAGATGAACTCAATAAAAAGCGTACGAACAAACATAAAGCATATTAAAAAAAGTTCAACATATCAAATTTTGGAAATGTCAGGTTTCAAAATAACTAGTTTTCTTACGGCAGTTTAATGTAATTTCTCTTTATCCAAAATAAACTTTATTATGGTTGGGGTTTCAATTACTCCAGTATAACAATATCCTTATAATGGATGAATAACTCATGTTTATAATAATGAAGGAAATCAGAAGAACTACTTTTAGAGTATCAAATTGGATTACCTGGCATTTCCCAAACATTGCTCCTCACTCTAGTTAAACTTTCAAGTCTAATTCTTAACAGTCAATTTTGTGTGCGCATGTGTGTGTGTGTGTGTGGTCCTATTCTCTCTCCCTATGCTGAAACCTACTACTTGATTAAAGATTCACACTATTTATTTCATGACTCCTTCTTCTTTGCCTCTAATCAAAAGCTATCTGACTTTCTATTTAGTATTTTGTAATTCTTTACAGCATTAACGTGTGCTAACATATTAGCTATTTATGAAGAGGGTCTGGTGGTGTGCTGGGCTGCTAACCACAAGGTCCACCATTTGAAACCACCAGCAACTGTGGCGGAAAGACGAAGCTTTCTACTTACATAAAGAGTTGCAGTCTCAGAAATGCACAAGAGCAGTTCCATTCTGTCCTATAAGGTATCTATGAATTGGAAATGACTCAATGGAAGCAAGTGCGGTTTTGATGAGCTTGAGATTTTATAGCATTTAGTATATTCTAGCATATTAGAAATTTATGTATGTCTGAGAGACATTTTTAATGTAACATCTCTCAAAAGTGCCCCACATACTAGCTTTCTCTTAATAGATACTTTACTGTTGATATGAGCATGTTTTGCAAAATAAACACTCAAATACAAAAACAAAACAAAAGACACTGCGTATATATGCCAATTTTCAAAATACACACCAGTGATGCAGTCCTTATAGTAGCAAAGTGTTCTCGATTACGATAGTGTGATTTGTGACGGGATACTTGGGGAGGAGACTGTGGATCAGTTGCTCTTGTTCTAGACTCTCCCTCTTCTCTATAATTTTCTTCCTCCTAGGCAAAAAAGAGACAATTCCCGTGTAAAGTTAATGAATAGTTCATTTGAACTCGCAAGAAAAGTACAGCTTGTAGTCAACCTGATAAATTTCAAAGATGTTTAATTTTAAAAAGCTACAGCAAATATTAGAAATGTTTTCTATTTTTAATATAGGTATAATCAAAATAATTTACTCAGTGTTTGCAATAAAACAGAGTAAGGGTTAAGTAAACATACAGGCTAGATTTGTTCCCTGCCCATTACATGCAAAATTAAAAATTTTTAATATCTTTTCAAAACAATGATGATAAAACATGTAGCCAATATTTAAAATAATAATAATAAAATTAATTATTCTAAGGTTCTTGTGTTTTAGAAGCAGTATAATTTAAACCTGGCTTTATAATACTTCACTGGAGCCCTGGTGTGGTAGTGGGTTCCAAGTTGGACTGCTAACCACAAGGTCAGCAGTTCAAAACCAATAGTTGTTCTGTGGGAAAAAGAACAGGCTTTCTACACTGGTAAAGATTTTCAGTCTCCTAAACCTACAGGAGCAGTCTACTCTGTCCAATATGGTTGCTATCAACTTGAGGCAGTAAATTTTGTTTTGCTTGGTAATATTTATTCTGTCATCTATCCAAGATAAGGAAAAAAGCTAAAAGCTAATAATTGTTGTCTTTATATATCTTTGTTCATTAACAAAAAAGTTAGTTAAGAAGCAACTAAATTTTTTTATTGATATCATCCCCTAAGATTATAAAAATTAAACATATTTTGTTGCTGCTTGTTAGGCACTGTTACCTTGGTTCTGACTCACAGCGACCGTATGCAAACAAGAATACAATACTGCGTGCACCCGCACTATGTTCTTAATTGTTGTTACAGACCACTGTTGTAGCCATTTTGTCAATGTACATTGTCGAAGGTCTTCCTCTTTTGCCCTGCCCTTCACTCTAACAAGCATGATGTCTTGCTCTAGGGATTGTTCTCCCCTGAAAATATGTCCAAAGTACGTGAGATTAAGTCTCTCTATCCTTGTTTCCAAGGAGCATTCTTCTAACATAGACTTTTGTGTTCTTCTGGCAGTCTATGATACTTACAACATTCTTTGCCAGCACCATTAATTCATACACATCAGTTCTTTGGTTTTCCTTATTCAATGTCAAACTTTCACATACATGTGAGGCAAGTGAAAATATCATGGGTTGGATCAGGTGCACCTTAGTCTTCAAAGTAACATCCTTGCTTATGGACATTTTGAAGTGGTTTTATGCAGCAATGCAATATATCCTTTGATTTCTTGACTGACTGCTACTTCCAGGGGTACTGATTGTGGATCCAAACAAGATGAAATCCCTTGACAACTTCAATCTTTTCTCTTTATTATGATGTTACTATTGGCATTATTGTGAGTTCTGTGTCCTGTACATTGAGCAGCAATTTATACTGAAGGCTGCAAACCTTCATCTTTATCAGCAAGTGTTTTAAGTCACCCTTGCTTTTGGCAAGCAAGGTTGTGGTCATTTGTATACTGTAGGTTGTTAATACACTTTCTTCCCATCCTAATGTCAAGTTCTTCTTTATATAGTCCAGCTTCTCATAGTAACTTTTCAGCATATAGACTGAATAAACATGGTGAAAAGACACAAGCCTGACGTATACCTTTCCAGATTTTAGACCACACAGTATTCCCGTGGTCTGTCTGAATGACCGATTGCCTCTAGAGCCATGGACAAGGTCGACATGAGCACAATGAAGCATTCAGGAATTCTCATTCATCTCTAATGCTACTCACTGAAATCAGTCCTAATAACATTTTAAGTAAAACTGCAAGTTTTGAAGTTACAGAGCATTTGTTTTCTTTTCTTTCTTTTTTTTAGAGCATTTCTATTCAATGCTAAAAGGAATACTAGACTTTCAAATATTTTGAGGAAATTAAAAAAAAATTATATCCAAAAATTTCAAGAGTAATATAGCAAACACCCATATTTCTTATATTTAGGATTTGTAATAGTAATTTTCCATAATTCTATTTTTGTTTTAAAGATAAATTTTATAAGTAAAGCACAAGTTACTTTCTGTCATTACCTAACTCGATCCCTTCTCTCACTGTCTCCTAAGGAAACCTCTGTGAATTTCATGTATAGTTTTCTTTTGTAATATTTTATTTTCCATGTAAGTAACTTCAAATAATATATTATGGACAGGTCAAAA